AACCCTAAACCCTAAACCCGCAGCCTGGGAGGTGGCCACGGCGGCGAAGCCTCGCTCTTGCATGCAGCGAGGTGCCTCGCTGCACTGCAGCGCTTGGGATTTGGGCTTAGGGCTTAGGGTTTAGGGTGTAGGGCTTCAAGTCTTGGGTTGGGGTTCAGGGTTTAGGGTGTAGGGCTTAAAGTTTCAGAAGGGGCTAGCTACCGCAGGGCCGGCGTTTGTGAAAAGGCAGGTTTAAAGGTAGCGCAGGCGTCCATCTTCTTTCATCATGGTTCGATGGTTCGCGAATGGTGCCATCCTCTGCTGTGTTTAAAGTTGTGCTGTGATGTAGCCTTACATGTTGCATGTTGTTGCTGCTCTAAAGTTTAGGGTTTGTGTTCAGGGTTCAGGGTTCGGGTTTCGGATAATCTCAAAAACCATAGTTTCATAGCAACCCCTTTAGCAACCCTAAACCCTTTTGGGGTTCTAGGGTTTGGAATAGAGCCTGCACCCTGAACCCTAAACCCTAAATTCTTGCTGTAACCCTACTTCAAGCATCATGGGAAAAGGTAGAGTAGTAGCTGCGTAGAGCCACGTTATGTAAACGTACTTATCACCTAACATACCAACTCCTCTGATCCTCTAAGTGTACACCTAAACCCTAAACCCTAGACCCGAGACACCAGATCCTAAACCCTAAACCCCTAAACCCTAAACCCTAAATCCTAAATCCTAAACCCCTAAACCCCTAAACCCCTAAACCTTCAAACTGACGATCCTCCAAGTAAGCATTCTGCACGCGCGGCCTCTTCAACTCGGCAAAGCTGCGTCCAAAGTTCATGCCACAACCTGAGAAGAAGGGTTCAGGGCTAGGGGTTTAAGGTTGAGGTTTGGGGCTGAGAGGGTTTAGGGCTGAGGGTTCAGGGTTTCGGCTAGAGCTCTTAGGGTTTCAGTTTGGGTTGAGGTAAAGGAAGTCTATAGAGCTTCTTAGGTTCAGGGGATTTAGGGCTTAGGTTTAAGGTTTGGGCTCATGGAGATTAGTGTTTGGGGCCATTCTCGGCACGTCAATGTCTATTTCATCATTCTCTGCTTCTTCAACGTCACCATCATCGCCATGATCGTCCACTGCATGAGCAGCATCACCACCATCATCGTCATCGCCCTGATGGTTCACTCGCCAAGAAGCAAGCTGCTAATGAAGACAATCCCAAAACAGCACAATCTCCACTTAAAGGATCATGGGACTTAGTAAGTAGGGTTATAACTAAGGTAACAATACTATACTTATAACCCCATTTAAGGGACTTATAACCTTACTTACTAAGTCCCATGATGCTTTAAGCAGGGTTGTGCAGTGGTGGCTTCGTCATGATCATAACCACGACGGCTGGCAACAGAAGCAAGAGCGGTGCACCCACCGCCATTTCAATACGAGTACGAGCAACAAGGAATAAGAAACAACACACTCGCACCTGACGGAAGCAATGCTTCGCATCGGCATAACATATCAAAAGCGGTGCTCACTACTATCATACTATTGTCCTGTACAACTTTCATCACCACTATCACAACCAAAAAAAGACAAAAAGAGCAAAAATCGCATTCATGAGCAATGAGATCATATATCTCGTAAAACCAATTACGGCAAGAGTAAGAGCCATTCATCACGCATATGCAAATCCTGGCAGCCTATATGCTTCCAAAGGCTCGATGACAGCAAAGAGATCGCTTCTTCATCTCCTCGTGAAGACTTTCCAAATACCTGCATGCACGCTCGCGTTGTCGTAGATATAGGTTTCGGTTATAGGGTTTATGTAGATATCGCATTTGGTCGACGACACTTTGCAAGATGTGAGCGAGATGTGAACGACTGTTGGAGCCTTTCCGGAAAGCCACCCTTTTCCTGCAGGGTGGATAACACTTCGTCCAAAGAGACCTTAGCAGCTTGCAGTCACATTTCGGCACGAATTTGCTGCATGCTGCTGCATGAGACAGGCTGAGCCAAGCGCTAGAAAAGGTGGTCCAAAGGAGTCTCGCGAAGAGCACAGCGGAACGACCCCATGTGCGACAGCGGTGCTGGGAATCAGAACTGCTGTATCTTTAGGGTTTAGGGTTTATAGGGTTTAGGGTTTAAGGTTTAGGGTTTAGGGCTTAGGGTTTAAGCTTTAGGGCTCAGGGTTTAGGGTATCTCCCTCACCTGCTTTGAATCCAATATTGACCAAGTGTCTGAAATGCTTGGCATTCCTCGGGCTGCACAGCTTCCAGCGTCAGAAAGTCGAGGGTAGATTACTCCCGATTAATGTGTGACGGCTGCTGAGCGCACAGCGGAATCCCAAAAGCCCACTTGCAAAGCTAAAGCTCTAAACACGAAGATCTGCAAGCATGGACAGCGCTCCTCGAGGGAGAGTCTGCTCAAAGCAGCTTAGGGAATCTCAGGGATGTTGGCGTTTACTGGAGAGTCTCCCAAGCTGGCCATGGACAAGAGCTTTGGAGGAGTGTCAGAATACTGTCGCGACGATTTCTGGCAGAAGTGCTGAACTCAGAACACTTCCGCGGCATCTCTGTCGGGTACTTGCGCGGCTCCGTGTCTATCAGAGGTATCAAATTGCCCCATCTGCCGAAAACACTTGAACCATCTCCCATCTAGGAAAATGCCCGCACAGGCAAAAATGGGGGGATGGGCGAGGGATGCTAGATCGCATGACTGAGCCATTGCCACACACGGGAGACATGGGGATTGCAAGGTTCGAGGAAACCCACCTCCGAAGACAACCTGCACCCAGGGTAGCCTCTGGCAGGCTCGATGAAATTCTGGGAAGTTCAGCGTGGAGATCATCGAGATCGATTTATCTTTTCACTGCCCAAGGCTCTTCATGGCTGGTGTATTCATGTCCAACGTCAGCAGGTGGACGTGCAGTTGCCGCAGCGACGGCACTGCATGGATTCCATGCATCCAGCCTGCAACGGCGAGCAGCAGTCTCGCGTGGAGCAGCACATCCCATGTAGCCGCTGCAGCAACAACTAAACGATCCAGGTTGACTGATGGCAAACAAGTTGCCAGCGCCGGACTTGTCTAAGGTCTCCATGATCCAAGCCACATAGACTGATAGTCGCCTGCGCTAGAAACTGAACAAAGTAGAATGAAGAGAGGTGAACTCGCACTGAAGATCTTTGGCGCACACTGCTGCCGGCCTGATCATGGGTAGATGCACCTCCTTGACCTGTGCCAGCCCAGCGACCCGCAGCCGAGGCAGCACAAGCAGGTGGACAGCAGCCTGGGTCCCAGTGCTCTCACCGACAACATGATCGATGTGCTGCTTTGCCCTCTGCAATGGGGGCGAACCTTCGGGTAGCCGTCGTAAATGGTGACGAACTCCTAACGGCACAGAGGAAGAAATGGACTTGCCAAGTTCCTGACACTAACACCCTCGCAAGGATCTTCACAAATACACCTCTGCACCTTTTACACTGGGGTTCTTGCTAAGGAACTTGTTTTATGTTACCACAATAGGGAACCACCGCAAAATAGATTGGGTCATACTACGTATGACTTGTTATGGTAACTTAAACTATTTACACTAATCACAAACCAGAATAAGTATAAGTGTAGCCAGATTATCTTACTATAGATCCCGAGTAGGGTAGTTTTCTAAATTAGGGTCCCTTTGGGGGTCCTTTTTATAAGGGCGCCGTACTAGAATGGGGACCCAAAAAGGGACCCCAAATTTAGAGAGCTACCCAGTACCGTAACTGACACCAACAAGATGCCTCAACAAGAAGGTGGGCTACCCCGGAATCCCAAGCCCTAAACCCCAAAACCCTAAACCGCCCTAAACCCTAAACCCTAAACCCTACACCCTAAACCCTAAACCCTAAACCTTAACAAGAACGTGGGCCCAGCAGACAGTCCCAGGGCTTCGAGTTTCATCCCGAAGTACCCCCGAAGTAAAGAGCTCAGGTCTTTTGGCTCAAAGGTTCAAAGGTTCAGGGTTTAGGGTTTAGGGATTTAGGGTTTAGGGTTTCGGGTTTAGGGTTTAGGGCTTAGGGTTTAGGGTTGAGGGGTTTAGGGCTTAGGGTTTCCGGATCTCAACTCGGATCTGTGAAAGAGATGGTGCCTTGCCTTTGCATCCGAACAGCCAAAGCCCTATACACCCACATAAACATCCCGGGCTTCAAAAGCCCGAACCCTTGAAAACTAAACCGCAGGGTTTAGGGTTGAGGGGTTTGGGTTTAACGTTCAGGGAGAACCACAAACCTCCCTAAACCCCCCAAGCCATGAATCCTGAGCCCCTACAGTAAACCCCAAATGCAGTTTAGGGTTTAGGGTTTACAAGCCCGTACATCTCCCAAATGACCATGGTTTAGGGTTTAGGGTTTAGGGTTTAGGGTTTAGGGTTTAGGGTTTAGGGTTTAGGGTTTAGGGTATGCTGCAATATACCCCAAATCGGATCCTCAAGAGCCCCACAAACCCTTGAAACTTACTCTGTAGAGTAACCTTGTTACCCTTGAAACTTACTCTGTAGAGTAACCTTGTTACTAGTAACCTTAGAGGAACCTTACAGCAACCTTGTAGCAACCGCATAAGGCCCTTTAATAACCTTAAGGGCTATAGCGGCTATAGGAGCCTTATAGTAACCTTGTAGGAACCCTGATTTATAGTATTGTCGGAAGTCTTATCGTGCAAGCTTACAAGAACCTTATAGGAAGCATTTGGGAACCTTCTCGGAACTTCTTGAAAAAGCCCAAGCCTCAAAAAACGATACCCTGAATACCGAAAACCCTAAACCCTAAACCCGAACTTAGGAAGCCTTCTTCTAGAGGAACGCTTAAAAGAACCCCTAATAAGAACCCCTGAAGGCACCGATCCTCGGTGGAGTGAAGGACGTGCGGCTTCAGCGCCGGGTCGCCAGCATCCCAGCGATCGAGGGCCTTCCGGGTTTAGGGTTTAGGGTTTAGGATTTAGGATTTAGGGTTTAGGGCTTAGGGTTTAGGATTTAGGGTTTAGGGTTTAGGGTTTAGGCCGAAAAGACGGGAGTTGTGGGATTAGGGATGTTTCGGGTTTAGGGCGCTAGGGGTTTTAGTGTTTCGGGTGTAGTTTAGGGAGTTGCGAAGGGGCCACGGAGGCTTCAGGGTTTTGGAGTTCGGGGTTTTGGGATGTTGAATCGCACCCGAAACCCTAAACTTGAGGTTTGGGAGTCGGGGGCTTTAGGACTTTAGGGTTTAGGGTTTAGGGTTTAGGGTTTAGGGTTTAGGGGTGGGGTCTTGAACCCTCGACCCTAAACCCTAAACTTGAGGTTTTGGCAAACGTGGGGTTCAGGGCTTCATGTAGGGACCTCAATTATTAGAATAGGGTCTTGGGCCCCATTATGCTGTAATTAAAATAAGGAACCCCAAAAATACTGTAGGTAATTACCAAGGCCCCTATACCCGAACCCCTTATAGTAGCCCTTATAGAGCCCTTTTAAAGGAACCCTTTAAAGGAACCCTATGAAACCGTATTCTTATTACTACGGCCCTAAACCCTTAACCCTAAACCCTAAACCCTATTGTAGGTAACTATTAAGGAACTAAGGCCCCGAAACCCGAAACCCAAAATCCTGAAACCCAAAACCCTGAAACCCTAAATCCCTAAACCCTGAAACCCTAGACCCTAAACCCTAAACCCTGTATTGCAGGTCATTACTAAGGCCCCTCTTTTCAGGGCTTGGGGCCGCACAGTCCTTCTCCAGGATTCCCGTGAAATGCCCGGAGCAAGGCAGGGGGCCGGGATTCTCCTGGGCTCGTCTTAGGGCTTTGTGTTTTTGAGCTTCTTGGGGTTTAGGATTTAGAGTCTAGGGTTTAAGGATTTTGGGATTTTGGGTTTAGGGTTTAGGGTCTAGGGTCTAGGGATTTATTTAGGGTTTAGGGTTTAGGGATTTTGGGCTTAGGGATTTTGGATTTAGGGTTTCGGGTCTAGGGTTTAGGGTTTAGGGTTCAGGGATTTAGGGTTTAGGGATTTGGGGTTTAGGGTCTAGGGTTTAGGGTTTAGGGTCTAGGGTTTAGGGTTTGAGGTCTAGGGTTTAGGGTTACGGATGTTGGTTTATGCTACCGGCATGAGGAAAGCACATTACTTAGGTTTGGGGTTTCGGCTTTAGGATTCAGGGTCGAGGGTTTAGGTATTTAGTATAGACCTTCCCTTGCATGGTAGCTTACCTGAATTCCTTACTTAAAGGATCATGGGACTTAGTAAGTGAGGTTAGAAGTTCCTTAAATGGGTTATAAGTATAGATACTTTAGTTATAACCCTACTTACTAAGTCCCATGATCCTTTAAGTAACCATCGCCCAGCGTCTGTCACGCGTGGAAGCGCACTGCCTGCACAACGATCGAACCGCCCGAGCCATGAAACTGAGACGTAAGGTTCAGGGTTTGGGGTTTGGGGTTTGGGGTTCAGGGTTCAGGGTTTAGGGTTTGGGGTTTAGAGGTTTAGGGTTTAGGGTTTAGAGGTTTAGGGTAAAGGTTTAGGGCTTCGGTGCTCTGGGTGTGCTTAGGATTTCAGGTGGACAGCGCAGAGTTGATGCCTTCAAGAGAAAGATAGAAGCTGTCCAGGTCTTCCATGCTCGGCACCTGCTTACAGCCCCGACACAGCAATGCGCGAATGCAGCGCGGTCTGAGGTTTCCACAGCTCGTCTCCGAAAGGGGTTGGTCCAGAACGTCCAAGTTGGTCGTCCTGCTTCTTGAATCGGGTGGAATCCGAGAGAACCATGAAAACAACCTACTTCGACATATATACTTCCTGTCCTGCAGAAACGATGATCAGCAGAGCGACCAGGAAGGCAGATTGCCAGCATTCATGCATCGCTTGATGCCCATGTTGGCACGCTCCGCACAGGCAGTCACTACTGATCTTCAAAGAGCTGCGAGCAGTCCCAGACTGATCCACAAGAGTAAAATAGGGGCCTTTAATAGCTAGAATAAGGTTTTCGGGTATGTTCTGCTATAAGTATAATGAGGAGCCCCGGAATGGAATGCGTAATTATTCAGATCCCTATACTACTGCGGATGATCTAAATCCTGCTCTGCCTTTGCGGACCCTAAACTATGGGAATTATGGTATAATCCTTAGTATGGGTAATGCAACCCTAAACCCTAAGCCCTAAATCCCTAAGCCCTAAGCCCTAAACCCTAAATCCCTAAACCCTAATCCCTAAACCCTAAATCCCTAAACCCTAAATCCCTAAACCCTAAACCCTAAACCGTAAGTCCCTAAATCCCCATCGTATGGCAGCAGCTGAGGCTGGGGCAGCTCGGCAGGTCACCTGGCCCTTCGCCTTCGCGCTGGCCTGCAGATCAAGTAGAAACTAGAAACCCTCCCGTCTATCCCTTTTCGGCCCGTTTAGGGTTTAGGGTTTAGGGCTCAGGGTTTTAGGGTTTAGGGTTTAGGGTTTAGGGACTAGAGTTTAGAGTTTAGGGCCCATTCCCTTTAAGGAATCCTTTCCAAAGGATCCCTTAAGGGATCTTCTTAGGGATCCCTTTTGGTATCTTTTGAGATTTAAAGGATCTTTAGGGTCATAGGGTCCTATGATGAGGTCTTGCGGGCGCCTGCCGCACCCCTAGCTTTCGCAGCGCGGCCAGGTCCCCAAACCTTGTCCGTCGCAGAGAAGAGACGGAAACGAGGCCGGTTTAGGGTTTAGGGCTTGGGGTTTAGGGTTTCGGGTTCAGGGATTTAGGGTTTAGGGTTTAGGGTTTAGGGTTTGGGGTTTTGGGTTTAGGGCTTGCTAAAGGATCATGGGACTTAGTAAGTGGGTTATAAGTACAGGTACCTTAGCTACAACCCTGCTTACTAAGTCCCATGATCCTTTAAGTGGGGTTTAGCCGGTTTAGGCATTGAGCTAGGACCCTGGCGTTTCCCCATCTCTGAGCAGGACAATGAAGTTGCCATCCTGGGCGAGGCTGCAAAGGTCTTCTTTAAGCCCTAAACCCTAAACCCTAAACCCAAAATCCCTAAACCCTAAACCCTAAACCCAAAATCCCTAAACCCAAAATCCCTAAACCCTAAGCCCTCAACCCTAAACCCGAAAACCCTAAACCCCAAAGGCTGCGAGGCGCGGGCCTTCCAAATTTCGACCTCGCCTTTGAGAATGAAATACACGAAATCGTGGCCGGGCTGAAACGCCTCTCCGTCCTGGCAGCGAAGAGGGTAGTTCTCTAAATTACGGTCCCTGTTAGGGTCCTTTTTATTACCGTACTCTTTTGGAGACCTAAAGAGGGACCCTAAGTTAGAGAGTTCCCCAAGAGGCTGAGGCGGCTTGGCTTCTCAACCTCTCTTGCATCGCAAGAAGGGGGCCCCTGAACCCCAAACCCCAAACCCCAAACCCCACACCCCAAACCCCAAACCCCAAACCCCAAACCCCAAACCCCAAACCCTAAACCCTAAACCCGGCACCTTCAAGATGACATCTCCATCTTCGAACTTCTTGTCCACCTCTGCACCCAGCAACATTCAGAGGGATAGGGGTAGCTTTCTAACTTAGGGTTTAGGGTTTAGGGTTTAGGGTGTAGGGTTTAGGGTTTAGGGTTTGGGGTTTAGGGTTTACATTAGGGTGCCTTTTGGGGTCCTCTTAACAAGGGTGCCGTACTATATTGGGGACCTAAAAAGGGACCCTGTTTTAGAGAACTACCCATAGAGTGGCCAAGGAATCGCTTGAGGAGACCGCCATGCGCTGGCTCAGCGCGTAGACAAGAGGGATCGGTGCATCCTGAAAGTGCAGCGCGGCAAGGAAGGGAATTCGACGTCACTTCCGCAAGAGGCCTGGAACATAGGGTTCATGGCAAGCAGGCTCGCGTCAACCTGGCGAGCAGCAGGAGTCAAAGGTTTCCGGGGGAGTTGCTGCGGCCCTAGCTGCACGTACAGCAACAGCTACTTAAAGGATCATGGGACTTAGTAAGTAAGGTTATAAGTCCCTTAATTGGGGTTATAAGTATAGTTACCTTAGTTATAGCCCTACCTACTAAGTCCCATGATCCTTCAAGTACAGTGACGTCAGCGATCATGATGCCAAGCCCTTTTGCCGATGAGGGCTCCACGCAATGGGAAATTTACACCGAAATCTGAAACAGTACTACTGCGAGTATGACCGTGCCGATTAGCACTGCCAGGGACTCCACCCACTCAGAGTCATCAGAGCCTCCCGATGACCTGGCTCCGGAAGAAAGCTCTGCACTGAACTATACGGCTTGCTACGAAAAGGCTTACGATATCTTACGATTAGATGGGCTACCGTTAAGACTACTAGTATACGGCTTAAGATCAGCATCATTATTAAGGTTCCTACTGCGCCGGATGTATCATTAAACCCTCATTAAGGGTTGCGAGTGAGAGGCCTACCTATGAGGGTTGGCTATGTGAGGCGGCACAACAGGGGCTATGTCCTCAACCCTAAACCCTAAACCCTAAACCCTAAAACCCTAAACTCTAAACCCTAGATCCCTAAACCCTAGAGCTGCCTCAAAGACAGTAAGCTCAGAGTCAGGGAAGAAAGCTCAGACCTCTCCGTCTCGACTTCGGTCTTCGCCGGCTGCATGAGCAAGTACTCCTCGGTCCATGCGTATCTTATGTCATACGGTTTAGGGTTTAGGGTTTAGGGTCTAGGGTTTAGGGTTTAGGGTACCCGGAATAATAAGACTACTATGAACAGTATCCCTAAATAGGTTTAGGGTTTTAGGGCTTAGGCGTACTATAAGTGTTGAGACTCCCACATATCGTAGATCTCTAGTGCTCTCTTGTCCTACTTAAAGGATCATGGGACTTAGTAAGTACGGCTATAACTAAGGTAACTACACTTAGAACCCCATTTAAGGGACTTATAACCTTACTTACTAAGTCCCATGATCCTGTAAGTAAGCCACAGGCCTTCCTTGGATCGTCAAGCCGAGTTGCGCGGCTCACATCGGTCTGGGGCAAGGATGACAACTCCAGGGAATACCTGCGCGACGTGGGCGAGGCCTCGGACAGAAGAGGAACATTTCGACTACATTATAGTATATTATAGTATATTATAGTATTTTTTGTATATTCTAGTATATTATATTTGTATAATATATATATATATATGTATACATATTATGGTATAGTATAATATATTGCAGTATATTATAACATACACTCCGTCATCTCCGCTCTTTGAGGACCAGGGGATCTAAGCTCTGCGCTGTACCCCAACCAACGATCTCCCTTTCGCTTTTCTCATCCAGCTTCAATTCTTCCAGCTCTGCTGCGCAAGCCTGTCAGAATCTTAGGGTTTGGGGTGCAGGCTTTAGGGTTTAGGGTTTATGGTTTAGGGTTTAGGGGAGTCTTTGGGGGTTTGGGGTTAAGGGTTCAGAGTTTAGGGTCGTCGCACAAGGCATCACAATGGAGACTGGCATGTGGTGCGGAGCGCCTCGACTTCATCCTCACCTGCACACCGACGTGCTCATGGTATGTGCTGCTGAAGTACCATGTCCCCAAACCCTAAACCCTTCATCATGTGCCAACGGCGTGCCCACCTGCATTTCCTCTGACGAGCTGCAAGCCTCTGAGCCGTCGAAGCTCCAGTTCTTTCTCCATCCGTCTGTCTCGGGCATCAGCGGCCCTGTTCGACTTCCAGATGATGAAGGCCTTACAAACAGCATTCGCAGGAGCTTTGCCCGAAGAGACTGCTTCTAAACGCGTCTTATCTGCCTCCGAGAAGCATAAGTGCCGAAAATGAGCACAGCTGCGATCAATGGCTGCCAGATTAGCAGCCGATCACGTACCTCTGCGCGGCTCTACTCCACGACCGCCTTATCTTCTAATCTTCTATCGACGTACTTTGCGCAGAGCGAAACCGTAAACCGCAAAACTCCAAACCCCAACGCCCTAAACCGTAAACACTAAAACCCCAAACCCTCAACCCTAAACCCTAAACCGAAAAACCTTAAACCCTAAACCCTAAACTTCACCCTCCACCCTAAACTCTAGATAAACCCTACAAAGAGGGCACTGAAAAAGATGGAACTTCAGGAAGGGCTCGGAGCTGCACCTGGCGACGGCGGTGAGCGAACTTTCTACCCCTAAGTCAAGGGTCAGGGTTTAGAGTTTAGGGTTTAGGCTTTAGAGTATAGGGTTTAGGGTTTAGAGTATAGGGTTTGGGGTTAGGGTTTCAGAGTTTAGGGTTTAGGGTTTAGAGTATAGGGTTTAGGGTTTGGGTTTAGGGTTTGGGATTTAGGGTCCGGGGTTTAGGGTTTAGGGTCTAGGGGAAGTTCTGAAATCTAAAGCCGAAACCCTAAACTCAAGGGCGTTGAACACATCTTCGCTCTTCCAAGCTTCAATCTTCTAGCGTACGACGATCACTTCTCATGGTATTCGGAACCCTCAACCCGAACCCAAAAAGCCTTAACCTTTGGGCTACTGATGGGAAGCCCCAAACCCCTAGACCCCTAAACCCTAAATCCGAAACCCCAAACCCCGTAAGCCCCGGACCCTAAACCGCAAACCACAAAGCCCCAAACCCCCAAACCCTAAGCCAAAAGCAAAAACCTCCAAACCCCTAAGCCCTAAACCCAAAACCCCCAAACCCTAAGCCCAAAACCCCTACACCCAAACCCCTACACCCCTAAGCCCCAAACCCCTACACCCCCAAACCCCTAAACCCCTAAACCCTAAACCCTAAACCCTAAACCCTAAACCCTAAACCCTAAACCCTAACCCCTAAAAGCCCTGAAACCCTCCATAGCCTGCGCTCGCGGGGACGCGGAAGCAGCGGCAAATCTCAGCCGCCTGGGGCCCTGCGAGGAGAAGGTCCTGGCCTGGGTCTAATATAGGGTTTAGGGTTTAGGGTTTAGGGTTTAGGGTTTAGGGTTTAGGGAATGTAGGGGCCTCAGCGGCCTTCTAGGGTTTAGGGCTTAGGGCCTTCTAGGGTTTGGGGTCTAGAGTTTAGGGTTTAGGGCTTAGGGCCTTCTAGGATTTGGGGTTTAGGGCTTAGGGCTTAGATTTTGGGCCTTCTTCTTTTGGGTTTAGTGTCGGGGCCTTAAGTTAGAATAGGGTCTTGGAGGCTCTTGGCTATAGATATGGTATAATGGGCCCCAAAACCCTATTCTAATTATTAAGGCCCTAAACCCTAAACCCTAAACCCTAAACCCTAAACCCTAAACCCTAAACCCTAAACCCTATATTAGGGTTTTGGAGTCTGAGGTGCTCCATAGAGTTTTAGGAGTCTAGGGGCTTTGAGGTTTTAGGGTTTGAGGGGCTTAGGGTTTAGGGTTTAGGGTTTAGGGTTTAGGGTTTAGGGTTTAGGGTTTAGGGGCTTCAGGAGTTCCATAGGGTCTTAGGGTTTAGGGTGTGTTTTTGGGTAGTTTGGAAATTAGGGTCCCTTTCTAGGGTCCTTTTTATAAGGGTGCCGTACCATATTGGGGACCTAAAAAGGGACCCTAGGATTCAGACTATAGGGCTTAAGGGATTGAGGCTTCCGGGCAGGGTGCAAGGTTTAGGATTCAGAGATCAAGGATTAGGGAGCGCAGTCGTGCTTGATTCCTTGATTCTGGGGCATTTGGTCAGGGTCGCCACAACAAGATCCGACGATCTCAGGGACAATGAATTTCGGAAGTTTGCGAAGGGCCCACACATGTCGGCAAGTGTCTTTCTGAATCTTGGAGATCCTTAATCCACAATACACCTTGAAATAGATACTCCTAGAGTCCCAGAACATAGTATACTAAAGCACAGTATACTCAACCCTGAACCCTAAACCCTAAACCCTAAACCCTGAACCCTAAACCCTAAACCCTAAACCCTAAACTCTAAACCCTAAACCCTAAACCCTACAGCATTATATACAAGACATCAGGGACCTGCTCGATCAAGGCGGATGCTGCAAAGCTGGGTAGCAAACGGGAAGAAGGCACCACGTCCACCAAAAGAGGATTCCTGCGGCGGCCCGATGTGGAGACTGCCATCGCCGGGCAGCCATGTAACGAGATCAACTAGTAAATCAGCTGCGTCACTAGCTATTCGCCGGATGCTGAACCCTAAACCCTAAGTCCCAAGCCCTTAACCCCAAACCGGCCCGAACCGGCAGGCTGGCTGTGTTGGTTGTCAACTGATGCGTCTGCTGCATAGATCGAGCCAGGCTTTGGGCATGGGAAAATCCAAGCTCCCTCCAGCGCCTAAAGCATTGCATAGCATGCGCAGCTCTACATGAGTAGCTCTCGAAAATGGGGCCCGTTGTGGAGGAACCCGAAAGAAGGCGGCACCCTTACAAAACTATCTAACCAGGACCCTCCTAAAGGGGATCTTAATTTAGAAAACTACCCAAATTAGAACCCTCACGTTACCCTTATACTCCCCCTGTAGTACCCTTATAGGAGCCCTTATAGCCCTAAACCCTACACCCTAAACCCCTAACCCCTAAAATCCGTTTAAGGAACCCTAAAGCTCCACCGCCTTCGGTACGTGCGGGCCGAATCCGATAGCGCAGCCGGGCCTTAGAGCTCTGCAAAGACCACTTAGGGTTTAGGGGTTTGGGGTTTATGGTTTGGGGTTTAGGGTTTAGGGTTCAGGGGTTTAGGGGTTTAGGGGTTTAGGGGTTTGGGGGTTTGGGGGTTTAAGGGTTTGGGGTTGAGGGGCTTCAGGGTGACATAGCATTGTACTACTATGCTATCGTACTGCTCTACTCCTATACTATTGTACGATGACGCCATTATCCGAGTATGCTGTCATACGATTATGCTACTTTGTACTACTATGCTGTTATGCTATTCTACTATAGGGTTTTGGGGGTTATTACAAATATAGTATAACATGCCCCAAACCCTATTCTAATTATTAAGGCCCGTACAACCCTAAACCCTAATAGTAGCCCTTATAGAACCCTTTTAAAGGAACCCTTTAAAGGAACCCCAATGCCCATTCCACTATTCTGCATCTTCTACCACCGCACCAGACGGAGGGAGCAGACCCTAAACCCTAAACCCCAAACCCTAAACCCTAAACCCAAAACCCAAAACCCTAAACCCTAAACGAGGCCCCGACAGGCGTCCGCAAAGGTCTTGAACGGCAACCGTGCCCCTCTCCGGGCCATCCTCAGGACTCGCCGGGTCCGGCTGGGAAGCCGGTTTAGGGCTTAGGGTTTAGGGTTGAGGGTTTAGGGTTTAGGGTTTAGGGCTTAGGGTTTAGGGCTTAGGGTTTAATATTTAGGGTTAAGGGGGTTAGTGTTGCGGGTTTAGGGATGCCCCTGTCCTGCGGTCCATTCATCGCCTCATTGATCGCAGTGAGACGCGTTCTCGCCAGCTCGAGCCTCAATCAGTCGAAGCGGCTCCCCTCCTAACACAGACTCCACAGAAAGGGTAGTTCTCTAAACAAGGGTCCCTTTCAGGGTCCTTTTTATAAGGGTACCGTACTATATTGGGGGACCTTAAAAGGGACCCTAATTTAGAGAATTACCCGAACAGAGCACTGTCTCATTTAGAGGCAGACAGGCGCAGGCGGGCGTCTGGATATTTGGCCAGTATCGGAACCATCACCTGGCATGCTACGGACGTCCCCGTGGCACAGTGTGATGAGGTCCTGCAACCTGAAGCCCCAAACCCTAAACCCTAAACCCTAAGCCCTAAACCCTAAACCCTAAACCCTAAACCCTAAGCCCTAAGCCCTAAACCCTAAACCGCCTGCCGGGACAGCTTCATACACTGGCAGGCAGTGGCAGTCTTGACAGTCGCTGTTCGCCGCTCCAGCCTGCCATGCCAGCTATTCTGGGCTTAGGTTTTAAGGTTTAGGGCTTAGGGCTTCGGGTTTAGGGTTTAGGGTTTAGGGTTGAGGGTTTAGGTTTTAAGGTCTAGGTTTTAGGGTTTGGGGTTTAGGGTTTAAGGGGTTATGGTTTAGGGTTTAGGGTTTAGGGTTCAGGGTTTAAGGGGTTATGGTTTAGGGTTTAGGGTCTTAAGGTTTAGTGGTAAGGAATCTAAACTACCAGAATACGGAACCCATCTCACTTACCGTAGGTTCTAGAAGTAGCTAAGTAGCACACTTCCAAAATTAGAAGAGTGCATCAAGTGAGAAGGTCCCGCTGGAGAAACTTTCGGGTGAAGTTTAGATCCCGATTATGCAACTCATTCACTTCTACTCTTTAACAAGATCCCAGTACTCTTGCCCTAAACCCTAAACCCTAAACCCTAAAATCTACGCAAATGCTTCTTTGCGACTCCTTCTCGGAGGCCATGAGACACCAAACCATGTGACAGCTAGGCGCACCTAATCTAGAGGTTAGGGAGTTAAAGTTGTTCAGTGCAGCCTAAATCCTAAAGGTTTGTGGTTTAGGGTGTCAGCCAAGAGTTGGACTCTCGTGGGCTGAGATCCAAAGACGACCAAACTTCGCTAGACTTCATCGGCCGAGTTTAGGGGGTTTAGGCGTTCAGAGGTTTAGGGTTTAGGGGCTACACGTTCTGCACGAGAGCTTAATGAGAGCGACAGCGTCCTGTCACTTAGTCGAACTTTACATTCTACAACAAACGCTCTCAAATTACGCCTGGTTTCCGATACTGCAGGTGTCTCCTCCGGATGCATATGACCCCCTCTTCCCCAGAAGATTCTTCATGAATATGCGCACATTCACCCGCGACGTATGCAGAGACAGCTTGCATCTGCAGCGCATCGGTGTTACCCTAAACCCTAAACCCTATACCATCACAAGCGGCCGATTTAAGACGGGAGGATTCTGGATCTGCGGTGCCAGCTGTCCGGGAGTCCGAGGCGGGGACTGCCTCGGGTGCAGACATTTAGGGTTTAGGGCTTAGGGTTTAGGGCTTAGGGTTTAGGGTTTAGGATTAGTTGAATAGGGTTTAGGGTTTAGGGTTAGTTTTATAGGGTTTAGGGTTTAGGGTTAGT